TCTCCACGATCTTTTTTTGGGTTCCTTCTTCCCGGCGTCACTTGGCGGCTGCAGCTTTGCAGTTGAATGCCGCTATCCACAATATGCAAACGCGGAGTTCGTCTTTGAAACAAACGACGATACTGACAGAAAGGCACTAGAGGATGGGGTATTTAAAGAGCTCGTTGAATGAGAAGTGTATTTATGCGGAATCTTTGTACGAAGAAACCGGTTGATCCACCTTCCATCTTTATCTCAGCCCCAAGTGGGCTGAGATAAAGATTCTAGCCAAAACTTAGATTGCTCATGTTTTTTTTTGGAAATCCTAATTTTGCAAAAAGGAGTGTTTAAGCAGCATTCCTCCTCAGCCGAATGTCACCTACAGAAATATGATGACTAATTTTGAGTCTGTTCAGGAGAGTGAAGAAATGAAGAAAGCTCAATTGCCTGAATATAATAAATGTGAATAAAAAAAGATTTCGAATGGAATTCTAATGCGACGACAACTTGCCTTCCCCTTCAGAACAGGCATTCTAGCGGCATCCTCACAAATAACGACACAATTGGATGTGTGGAATCGTTTCAATGTTTGATGAATCAGCATATAACATCGCTTTTTATCGACATCATTAGCTATCAGCATGCCACCTGAATAATTTCACATTAAGGACAGTTCAATCTTCACTTGAAAACATCCAATAGTGTCAGGAGGGCCTAATGAACAGACTCATGGAAAACTCTCAACAAACTCACTCGGAGTGGTTGTGTTCTCATGCATCATTTCTATCAATTGTGCCGTCTTACTACCAGGCGCTGCACACATATCGAGAACCAGATGGTCTGAGTCAGGATTCAGAAGCAACGGTGGAATCATGCTCACAGCTTCTTGACGCGAGATATGACCGAGCTCCGCTTCCGTAACCTTCAAGCATGAACATAGAGGGCAAACACATCACTCAGTGTGTAGTTCATTCGAATCGCGGCATCGCTCGCGAACTAGCTAGTATTCTTGTTAGTTGACCCGAAACAGCAGTTTGGCGTCAAATGAATTAAGCTGTGAAGCCCATGTCCTCTCATGGTCCCATTACATAAAAAAATCGATAGTAGGTAATATGTTTTCTTTTACATCGAGTTTCGAAGATCATTGGTGACCAAATGCCATTCTACAATCAAAAAAAAACGTTGAATGACTAATGTGGCCAGATCATCATTTGCAAAAGTCAAAACAAAGAAATTAGTTCATCGACTGTCCATTTTCTTGAGGTAAGGCTGGCACCATGACCCGACTGATGTGACGCTGAAGTGTCATGTTGAGTCAACTAGCGAGAAATTCTGTCCCGCGTGCAGTGCCGCGACACGAATCTCTTCCACTACATTCACTACTCTACTGTATGCTCAAAGTAAGAAGGGCAGTGATTACAGCATACCAGAAAATTATGAAGATGAGCCAGAATCGGATGACTCCTCACTGAAGTCCTCGTCATCCTTGTCTGATATGCACCTGGATACCTATAGGTTCAAAAGAATTGGTAGAAAGAGGCCACACAAAAATCAAAACAGATAAGACTGTCAAAAACGGAAAAGCTCTAACCATGGCAATGGCTTCGGCTCAAATACATCTGAATCCTTTGACTGAGCAATTGGTATGAAAAACTTGGTTTCCAATTCATGCATGAGCCTATCTCGATCCCTAGAATCATAACTAGTAAGGATAGTAAACACAGTAGCAGATGTAGTCGAGTTTAGCACTAATAAAGAAACAGCCTTCGAATCCAACATACTTGTGACATCCCTGTACTCGAAATGACACTGGAAGGTCCGTGCGAAGCGCGTTGCAAAACGCGTCCCACTCTTCTTCGGGGAATAATTTTTGAGCTTTGTAAAACGTCCAGTACTTCTCGTTCTCCTTTACAATGTCTTTGTAGGGCTTGTGCTAAATCAAAATAGAATACTCCTCATTAATATCCTGTTCTATCTATCAAACATCCACAAACAGTTCACTTACATTCCTCCACTCGTCCCGTTTCCCATCCGGACCAAGCTCTTGTTGCTGCTGGGGCTTCGATTCATACCAAGACGTTTGCGTTTCTTTTGGAAGTTTCGACCCATCTGACAAGAATACGTATACTCACTGATATTTAGGTAGTTGTGGGACAAGCAATGTTAGACATATGCGTTCGAGTTGCGCCGCGAAACCCGTTGGAAACTCATTTTGTCACGTCCCCCTGGACAGTTCAGTCGCTAATCGGAAAATAACAAGGAGCATTAGGAAGCAGTGGCACGTTAGATATATGGCAATCGCACTTCTGCACAAAAAGTTCTACAGCATTCACTTCTCTACACCATTTCTTTATGCTCAACAACATTTTCTGCTCGAGGATGCCAAGAAAAGACCGCTAGCCAGGGGATGAGGACTTTTGCGTAGGCCTGAAAGGGAAAAAGCTCCGAGGCGGGCGAACCACTTCGCTTATCCAGAACCTTCTTCTCCTTAACTCCACAGACCTTTTTTCGTTATTGTTCACAATAAAATGTTTGCAGTGGTTCGAGGCACCAAAATGCTCAGTATATCCAGCTAGCGTCAAAATTTACTCATTCAACCTCAGTTGAGTTGCAGTGGCGGACTTATGGCCAGTAGAGCGCATTCCAGCAGCACCGAAACTCTCTTCTCATTGCCCGTTTTTACACCTTCACCACTTCAACAGTTCTGAACAATTCCCATGCGGCTAATGAAGTTGATCGCGGCCATGCCGTACCACTTCTGCGTAAAAAACTTAGGTCTAGAGCGCAAACGACCGCAGTTGCCGCGGGCCCTTAGGTTTTCTGGACTTCTCTCCTCCTCATCGTCTGCATGGCGTTCTACGACCAGTGTGACCTCACGCATTGCAAATTTTCACGTATGATGGCTTACGAGCCCTGGAGTCCTCTCCCCGTGAAAAAAGCCTATCTGGTTCACCACAAATTTTTCGTAATTGTCAATGCTTTATTAGCCATTCCCTTCTTGCCTACGCAATTTAGTCTCCTGCTTGCTAAGCCTATGCATTGTTAAGGCTCTGCTGCTTAGCCCCGCTGAACTACGCTACTATCCATATCCCTAAGATGGGGAGGGCGTTATTGCGTACTTTATTTAGACATAGTGTAGAATGCATTTTTCAAGATATTTCTATCTGAGACAACTGTCATCGTGTCTTGGTCTCCTTTTCCCAAAACAGAGCGCAACTGCTACCACGCTCGGATGAAGTAGTGCAGCCACGCCATCCGCACCTCGGAGATATGCTGTGGATAGCAGGTAACTCCATGTGCGGTCAGTAATATATTCATGGCACCTGCCTCGAACAGTTTTGTTGCCGCGGATGTTGAAGCGTTTCGGGGCTTGGTTTGGTGCGGCGCCAACCGTTCCACTACCCACTGGGCTTAGCGCCAAACCCAGCCCCGGGACGCCCCAGCAAGTGCAGCGAACAAGACTATATGACTGTAACAAGACCGTACGACAGCATCTGCAATTACGGCGCAAAAGCAGTAAAGTGCAGAACGTCGCACAGTTGCTGCATTGCATCCACGCAGATACACATCAAAAAGTTTTACAAATTAATATTTCAAGGTAGTGAACCATTTTCATGAGAGTGAATGACAAGTTAGGATCACACATTTACTTGATTGTCGAACGTATGCTCAGCGAGCCACACAGCTTACAATTGATAATGTTTTGCCCAATAACAACTCCACTGACCACTGCATTAACAAAACGCGTGCGAGCGATTTATGAGAATGCGAAGCAACACAATTGGACCGGCGTAGACTTCTATCAAAGCAATAGGAAAACTATACATATATAGCAGATCGGCAAGTCGAACACAACTATTCACAACTATAAGCAAAGGGGGGAATTTCGATCACAAACAGAACGATGCTCGTGTAGGTAAGGAGGAGGAGGAGAACAGATATACGACAGAGGAAAGAGCTTACTTTTGATCACATGACTTATAACCATATGAAGTGCTGTTATCTGCTTTCTAGCGTATTAAACCAAGAAACAACAAAGAAGAAACAGTGAAAATAGAATACACAAATAAACGTCACGAGTACATAAAACTTATATTTCCATTTCAAGAGGGCGAGTTCCATGCCATGTTAGTCACTTGCGCCACGAATCCGGTCGAAAAAGCGTCGTCTGATCGCCGCGCACGTCGTCGAATCTTCGCCGAGTAGCGCTACCAAATCGTCGCTCGCTCAGTAAACATCGAGTAGAAACTGGCCGCCGCGGTCAGCGGGGACGTCAGAGCCTAGTTACCGCTGATCCTTAGCGATCGCACAACAGCTAAAATTATTATTTATAATTTTTAATTCACTAGCCTCCTAATACCTCACTACATATTATCCACTAAGCATGTGTGTTTCACGAGATTCATAGCGCGTGTCGCGCCCACGCGAACGCGAGGACATTGGTTCCAAGATATGACGTAGGGGGTAGGACCATATCATTAGTTGAGGAATTTGACCGAGTCCGTATGGACCACCCCCCCCATCCCACGAAAGGTGGCTTGATACGACCTCCCCGTAGTTCTCCCTCCTCTGATACGATTGTGGAACGGGGTGGGGATTCACAGTATATAGCAACTGAAACAACAAAACCGCGAAGAGACACCAAAGGGGAAAGATTTTCCCAAAATGGAAATATTCTCAGAAGGGAAAACGACCCCCCCCCTCCCTTAGCGACTCCTAGCCACCATACGATCACCCTGTTGTGGATACCCAATGACGACTTGTTCTGGGAAGGACGGAAGCACTACTGTTGGACTACCTGTAAAGGGGGTGAGGGATAAAGGTGGTACTAGTGCGCCTGGAATGGGAAAAGTCAACAACAAAAAACACCAAAAAAAAATGCGCCCCTACTGCGCTTGAAACAACATGGCAGAAAAGGCTGACCGCTACCATTTAAAAAAGTTAGGTTAAAGAGCCAGAGTGTATATATCGGGAGGGTGGTAAGCCCCATAGGGCTCTCGTGTGATGACGATAGACTGGCCAAACTTGTTAATAATTTATGAGCGTGGAGAAAATCCTTCCAGGCCATGAATCTTCAGGTTAGAGGTTTCAGGGCACTCAGTCCGGCGCTAATAATTTAAAAGGCGTATTTAATGGACCTTTTCTGAAAAACTGATACTGCCGCCTTTCAAATAGAATTCCGAATTATCCTACTTAAACTGATTAGAGTTACCGTACTCAAACTGATTCATCCACCGCGGAGCTCCTTCCTCACCTCAACTCTCAGCAAAAGGTCCTATATCCAAATTGCAATACTAATTATCACAAAAATGCTGAGTTATGGGCAAAAGTCGTGGCCTCAGGCGGGACTCGAACCTGCGCCTCACGCTTACTGAGAAAGTGCGCTAAGCGTCACGCTGTCGAGGTCGCCTCTCTCGCCTCTTTTTCCAGTAGTTCCAGTTTTGCAGAAGAAGTCCCTCCACGTTTATTGGAACCGTCGGTTCAATATACGGCGTCAACAGTGAGGTCAGTCTATTCACGATCTCTTTCATGAAAGTATTTTTTTTCACCAAAATCATTATTTTCAGTACCACTAATGGAAACTCCCATGGAAAAGTGGAGTAAGATGGTGGGCAGTACGGGGCCATGACCATGAGACTAAAATTAAGCGCTACCCACCCTTGAGTGCTCCAGTACTCCGCAATCAGGGCAGTTCCCCAACGACTTCTTTTCTCTGAGGGCAGATTTGGTTAAGAATACCAAGAATCTCGGTGGAGAATCTAGGCGCGAAGAGTATGAGGTCGTCCATGTGCATAGGTCGAGTTAAATTGAATGTTCTATGCAGTGTGAACTGTGCGACAGCAAAATAACTCCATTGCGGATTGCTAAAACAGATCGATGCTTGAAAATCCCTTCACATCATCCCGGCTTAAATGCTTAACATTGATTCGTATTAAGGACGTTCTGCTTTCCAGTTTACACTGGGGAGAAGCTGGGATCAGGGCAGTTACTACCGCTGGAGGGGGGAAAGGGGGGGGGGAGTTGAAGCACGATCCCTCCTTGCTACCCTACTATCTCCCTCAATTCTCCACCGCTTTCCAAAGAAACTCTTCATTTTTTTCTCTAAAGCGCTACCTTGAAGCGAGGGCGGGGGAGCGATGAGGGGAAGGGGGTGGGGGTATATAGCGCCAGTGGGACGGGAAAACAAAATAAGTCAACAACCGAAACACTCTCATCAAAGCATATGCAACCCCCCTTCCTTTACTAACCGAACCCCGCCCTCGCTGGAAATCCCCAATATGGGACTCTCCTGCCCAGAACAATATCCTACCAACCAATAAAAAAAACGGTCCTTCAAAACACACCGTTAGATGGTCATCCATGAGCTCAAGGTCCTTGCGAGAGCAGCAGATTCGCCATGTCGTTCTCGATATCCTGGCTGAATGCCATATGTCGGTAGTCATCTTGCTGTGATACCGCCGTGACTGGTCGTTGTGATTGCATCGCCATCGATGATCCAATATTCTGCGATTGAGACTGGGTCCACCCCGACATCGATACATCACCGTACGCATCCACACCAATCAACGGATCTTGCGAGGCCTGAAATATAGTCTGTGGAATTAATTTCCAAAGTGGGAAAAATGAGTCTCAAAACGTTATATGAGGAAGCATAAGAGCTACACACAATGAAGAGATTCATAAGGAAAAACATTTTATTGTTAAGGGCAGCACAAGGGGAGAGGTGAACGTGCACACTGGAACGGGAAAAACCACGAGGAGTCAACAACCAGCCGAAAAAATTCTCACAGAAAAAAATTTTCTCAAGGCCAGGTACACCCCAAGGCGACGAGCAAACAGCAACGACCATTTCCAAATGGGGCTCTCCCAACGTTGGGATAATGCGCGCGAACCAGGAAAAATCAAATATCGAAAAAATCCCTCACTCCAAACACGACATCCCCTCTCTCCAGCGACGAAGACCCCCCCCTGTAATTCCTTCGTGACGAGGTCCACTGCTTTTTACGCCCAGAGGGACTAGAATTTTAGGATCACCTATCTGCTAACGGACAAAATACAGTTCC